CCCATTGCTGAGCCTGGTTCCTCAGCCATAAAATGCTACTAGACACTGCGTGTAGACCTGGAGGTGAACTGGGCTCGCTTTAGCAGCTGGGAGCCCAAGGCACTGGGTTATGTGACTCTGGAGAGGTAGGGACAGAGCCCATCTCTAAACCTGCCAAAGGCTGGGGCAGGCAGGAGAGCAGAGCTGCACGTTCATCGACAACAATGTGTGTGTGTGTGTGTGTGTGTGTGTGTGTGTGTGTGTGTGTGTTTAATGTATACATTTTATACATATACTTCTTATATCACATATTTTATTATATATCTATTTTAAAGATTCTCTTTATTTATTTTTTAAGGGAGGGGGACAGAGGGAGAAAGAGAAGGAGAGAAACATCAATGTGCAAGAGGTATATCCATCAGTTGCCTCTCACACACCCTCAACAGGGGACCCGGCCCACAACCCAGGCATGTGCCCTGACAGGGAATCAAACCAGTGAATCTTTCAGTTCTCAGGCTAGTGCTCAATCCACTGAGCTACACCAGTCAGGGCAACACTGTATATTTTTTATTTAACCAGCATTTTTATGCTATTTTTCCACATACCAGGAACTGTTCAAAATGCCTTACATGTATTAACTCATAATTCTCACAACAATCCTACGAAGTAGGTGCTATTCCCTCCATTTTACAAATGAAGAAATGGAAGCACAGAGACATGAAGTCACTGGCTCATAAACATACCTACCATATATGAGATACCTTTTATGCACCAGGCATTGTGCTAAGCCCTTTGAATGTGTTATTAAAAATCTACACTGCCCTGGCTGGTGTGGCTCAGTGGATTGGGCACGGGCCTGTGAACCAGAGGGCCGCCGGTTCTATTCCCAGTCCAGGGAGCATGCCTGGGTTGCAGGCCAGGTCCCTAGTTGTGGTGGGGCATGAAAGGCAATCATGCATTGATGTTCTCTCCCTTTCTTTCTCTTTCCCTTCCCCTCTCTCTAAAAACAAATAAATAAAATCTTTAAAAAATATCTACAGTTGCTCTAAGAGCTGTAAACATGATGGTATATTCCAACACAAATATAATATTTAACCACAACACAGGTGTAAGTCCATCAATGTATTGATTGATTATCAAGAGGGCTGGTAAAAGAGTATGCCCAATTCAATCAGGCACCTGAGGACGAGCATGGGGCACTCCAGGAGTGCAACGAGGCCAGGCATCGCTTCCGCACTGACTCTGTCTCCTCCTGTTCCTGCTAAAAGGACCACCTCTCCCTGGGGCCATCTTCGCTTGAGTGTGGGGACATTTGCTTGAAACACTGTGGTCATTTAGACACCCTCCTTGTCGCTCTTCCTTCTACAATGACTGAATCTCTTCTGGAAAATGTAGCCGATGTATACAGTTTTATATACGGCTTGTTTTCACTGCTGGCCCCATATTGTACTTAATGATACAATTACTCCTGAATAATGTGATACTAGTGAGCCTTAAAGAACAAAACAAAGAAGAACAAAAACATCCCAACATTATTTTTTTTAGGGAGGGGTACCTTTTTACTCAGTATGATCTCTAATTTTTGGATGAGCTGTTAAGACTAGTACAAGGAACTCATCAATGTCTTTTTAACCAGATTCTTCATTTATATACTTTCCCCCCCATTTACTTTATATTCTCCCTCTCCCACACATACATGTCTTATTGTTTCTGAGCCATTTAAGGGGAAATTGGTGATATTGTGTCCCTTTACCCTTAAATACTTCAGTGTTAATTTCCTAAGAGCAAGGACATTCTCTTATTTTAAAAAATTTAAAATGCCCGACTGGACAATCTACCACCCTGTTTTCATTTAAATTCACTCAACCGCCCCAGAAGCAATTCTGTGAATGATTGATTCTCTTTCTATGGCTGAGGAAACTGAGGCTCAGAGAGACCAGGTGACTTATCAGATTCATGTGACCTCAGAGGTTGGATTCAAACCACAGTGTCTGATAAAAAGTCCCCTTTAGGACATGAGGTCAGCCCCTGGAAGAATGCATGCCGGGGGGAGAGGGCGTGGTGCGAGAGGTGCGTGTGTCCGGTCCTACCACCCAGACAGTGAGGGACACCAGAAAAGAGGCAGGGGACCTGGGGGAAAGCCCAGGACACTGTGAGTGTGCATCCACAATCACATTTACATGGCCAAATCAGACCTACTGAACCCTCCTCCAAATCCACTTTGTGGGAGCCTTCCTCATTTGGTCACTTCTTCTGGATGCTCAAGCTAAATCACCTTCGACAGCTGGAGTCATCGTTAAAGCCACCCCTCCCTTTACCCCCTGGGGCCATCAGCACTGCTGGATACAATCTCTACTATCTACCCCAAATCCAGTCATTTTTTTTCAATCTCCCTTGCACCATCCTCAGTCTTCCAGATCAGGTGCCAGCCTCCTCCCCATCCACCTGCCTACTTGGATCAGTTTTAAATATCTGAGTCAGATCATGGTTCAAACGGTGACGTCGAAAGTACAAAGTTGCCAAACCTTACTAGACCCTGCAAGATCTGTGCCCCCATGCCTTGCAGTTACTTCTCTCCTCCTCACTCCCTCTGCTCTGGCCACACTGACCTCCAGGCTGTCCTTCCCATGTGCCAATCTGGATCCTGACCTGGGTCAGGCTGAAGCACTCCAGTCTCCATTTTATCTTCTTCCCAGATTTATCCATACCTGACACTGTCTTATTTGTTTATATTTATTGTATGACACTTCCCAACTGGCCTGTAAGCCTTGGACCTCCCTGTCTGTGTTTATAGTCAGGTACAGGCCACATAGCAGGCACTTAGTCAAGATCAGGCTGCATGGCTGGCTGACCTGCTTTGCGCAAGTCCCTCTCTTCTGTGGACTCAGTCCCCTGGTGTGAAATGGGACCCTAACTCTCCTTGCCCTGACTCCTCCTGGAGTGGCTGTGAAGCTCAAATGAGGTGTGAATATGACTAGCTTTTTTTTTTTTTTGCAAATTATAAAATTCTGTGTCCTGGGGAGACAACATGCCATTTTTCTTTCCCAGTTTCCCTGGTATTCACTGCCCTTTCCCAATAATAAGACTGAGACAACTTGTGTATTTAGACCCTCTCTTTTTTCCTCGGAGTTAGGTGGTCTACTGTCTGCAAAAATGCCTATCATGTCGCAGTAAACCCAATCTTTTGGTATCTTAACTAGGCCTTCCAGGCATTCCTTGGTGGTGCAGACATTCTTTGCCCTATAACAGGTCTTGGCTTATGATAAGAAAAAGAGGCCCAGCAGCCCTCCCACAGGCCCACCAGCTCATATACATTTTTTTTCCCCCTCTAAAGACATACCTCTTCTCCTTGCACCAAACTAATTGGAAGCCAATTTTCAATGTTTGTGCCAGAGGCCAAGGAGTTCCTGCTGCTCCTTCACACGAGTCTCCACTGCTTGCTGAGCGCATTTCACTTCCATATCTCTTTAGCCTTTCCCCAGGTTCCTAGGTTGAACAAAAGCAAGTATGTTTAGAAATGTTTGCAGCTTCCAGAGAATTTGCCATTTACTCATTTGCAAATACCTGTTACAAGATGAAGGGAGAAAGCTGTGGCTTTCCTCGGAGAGCGGGAGGCCAGGAGGCAGGGTGGCTGTGCTCACTCATTCACTCATCAAACTTGTATCGAACTCCTCCTGTAGGCACTGGAAATACAGCTTGAACAAAATAGACAGGTGTTTTCTGCCCTCATGAAATAGTTGATTGTGTGTGTACATAACAAGAAAAAAAACAAAGATGTATATAAAGAATAATGCAAAATGATTTGAAGAGCTTTGTGTGCCACAAAGACAGTAAAATAGGAATGATAGAAAGGGTAGACTGTTGAGGAGGGGTGGTCAGGAAAAGTCTCTTCAGAAGGTGACCTTTAGGGAGAACTGAATGGTGAGAAGCTGGCCATGAAAAGATCTGGGCAAAGAATGTCCAGGAACATGCTTAATGTGTTTGAGGAACAGCAAAGAGATGAGAGGTCAGAGTGATATGAGGGAGGAGGGGAAAGAGTAAGGAGATGGCGGGAAAGGCAGGCAGGAGCCAGCCACAGGGGCTCGAAGGCCATTATGTCATCATTCATTTGTTCTTTCACTCATTCAACACATATTTGTTGAGCATCAGTGTGCTAGGACACACTGAGACCGGGCCTTCACAGTCTAATACGTGGAGACACAAATAAGCAGGTAAACAAATTAATATATAAGTATAAGTACCAGGTATCGCGAATATTAGGAACTGCGGTTTTTCCAATACCGTTCAGTGCCCCTTTAAGGGTAGAGGAAGTTGAGGCCTGGTGACAGAACGCTTCTCCTTCTGCCCCGGATGCAAGCAGTACCCAAGAACCCAGGCAGCCAGGGACCTGACCGTCTTTCCCTCTTCTGCTCTCCCTCCCTTGACCTGTAGATGACTGACAAAGGCTAACTGCGGTGGAAGGAAGGACTAACTTTGAGGGTTCAGAGCCGACCCGCAGGGGCACGGTAGAGCCCAGGTGATATTGCAGCTGGAGGTGGAGGTAAAGGGGAGACTTCGTTGCTGGGTGACTCCAGTGGGAACATTTCCCTCTCTGGGCCACCACCTCCAGAGCGGTGCGTACGTGTCCGGTGTCGGGGGTGGGGGGCCAGAGAAGAGGGGCCCCAGGGTGGGCCTCCACTAGTAGCAGACGTCTGCGAGCTCTCCCCACGAAGTCTCGGTATCCCGGTGGGTGATTTAACAGGCCCTGGGAGGAGAGGCGGGGCCTGTGGAGGAGGGGCGGAGGGGTGGCTCCGAAGTGATTTCAAATTTCCCTCATCTCCTCCCCGCGCTCCCTCCCAGCGCCGGAGGCTGGGCTGTGAGTGGCTGCGGCGGGGGCGCTCTCGGAGAGGGGGCGGGGCGAATGCCGGGCCCAGGCTACAAGTGGACTCAGCACCGCCCCTTGCCCACCCTCTATCTCTGCCTGTGCCGCCCGCGCTGCTTCCTCGCAGCAGCTGCCCTCCGGCCACAGCCCGCGTGGACGCTCTGAGCGTCCCCGACCAACGCCACCGGCCCACTGGCAGGCCGACGAGGGAGCGGCCGCGCCCGGCCGGCAGCGCGGGGGTTAAGTGGCCCAAGTAAACGCAGCTCGGCGATCGGCGCCGGAGATTCGCGAGCCCAGCGCTCTGCACGGCCGCCCGCCGGCCTTGCTCCAGCCTGTCCGGACCCGCGGCTCAACCGCGGAGCCGCGCTCGAGTCAGGCTCTCGGCAGGTGAGCGCCCGGTGGTCCGGGGGAGGCTCGCGCGCCCCGGGACTCCGGGGGCTGGTGGGGGAGGGGACAGCAGAACGGGGCCGGTACTGCGTGGAGGGACCCTGTCCCGGCCACCTCCTGGGGAGGCGGCTCCCATCCGGCTGGAGACCAGGCATGTTAGGGAAGGTGAGGTCGGTCCCCTGGCCCTAATTGGGGGAAGCGAACAAGAGGGATACCAGTTGGAGTGGGGCGAGGGAATGTGTCTTCCAGGGATTTGGGTGGAAAGCCTACCCTCGTATTGCAAGAACCCGACGAGGAGAGACTTTCACCCCAAGGGAAGGGAGACCGGGCGTCCTTCCTGGCCTCTAGAATAAAAGGAGGAGGTGTCCCTCTGGAGAGAAGGGGACCTCGGTGGAAGGGGGTATACTTACCTGGCCTCGGCTTGAGAGGGAGTCTCCTTGGGGAGGGGGCAGAATAGAAGAGGGAGTTCTACCAAGAAGGTGGGCATCCCGCATCCGTTCCATCTCACTAGGACCTGAGGGTTCAGCTGAGAGAACTTAGTTTTATTTACTTCCAAGGATAGAAAAGAACCAGTGGTGTGAGTGCGAGCGGGCAGGTGGGTCGAGGTGTGTTCGCATGTCGGGGATGTACGCCAGAGGGCAGACTCCCGGGGTCCTCCCTAGATGAGCCACGGAGGGCCAGGCGCAGCTGGGCTGCCGGGATGCCCTCGGGAGGAGCTGCGCTCTCCCAGTGCACACCTGGCCGGGAGGAGCCAGCCCGAGGGCGGCGTCTCCTTGCTCCGCCACTCTACCTGCCCTGGGGCTCACTTTCCTTTTTTTTTTTTCCTCTCCCGGGGTGAGGTTGGTTCCACTTCCCAAACTTGCAAGTTGAGGCCTCAAAACTGCTAGTTAGCACCACCTCCTAGAAGACAGGATTCCATGCCCAAGTGTTTGGCGAGGGAGGGTGGATGGGGAGTCCCACTTTGCAGGTGAGAAAGTGGAACATAGAAAGCGGATATAGTAAGTTAGCAACAGGGACCGGCTCTTGGGCCGGGTTTTTCCTCCTGGGGTCACTCACCTGTGGCAGGGTAAGGCTGCAGAAGTTATGCGCCCCAGCCCAACGCCTTGTGCTTCCAGCCTGCCTCCTTCCCAACCCCAAGCAGAGAGAGGTAGGCTGGGCTTTTGTGCTGCCCCCTCCCCCACCTGCTTCCCCATCTCCACCCCAAGCCAAGAACTGCACGAATTAAACAGAATTAAAGAGAGTATAAACTTTGAACCACCTCCTGATTTTTGGGTGTGAGTTTTGGCCAACTGGTGGCAATTGTTTTGGGGAGGCAAATCCTTCTGGGGTTCTCACTTGAAGAGCCCAGGAGGCTGACCTGCCTCTGCCCTCCAGGAGGCCTGCTTTGCTTCTTTCCTGGACGCCATTGAACTTCCCAGGTGCAGACCTGATTTTTTCCAGAGTTAAGATGATCCCTATTTTATAGGAACAGCACAGTAATCCCTCAATAAAAGTTTGAGTTTAATGCCACTCTTGGTGTTAATTACCTGGGACCTGGGCTAAGCAGGTTGTCCTCTTTAGGGGGATGCACGAATCTTTGGATGGTGTTTAAATCTGTCCCAGTAAGTCCATTGCTTTCTGTGTCTTAGCTATTATAGCTATGAAATGGGAATATGCCTAACAACCCCAGGTTGTGTAAGAATGAAACCAGTTTATGCAGTTTGACTTCTGACCTTCAATGTTCTTCATTTTTAAAAAAAATATTTTATTTATTTATTTTTAGAGAGAGGGGAAGGGAAGGAGAAAGAGTGGGAGAGAAACATCAATGTGTGGTTGCCTCTCATATCTCCCCTATGAGGCATGTGCCCTGACTGGGAATCAAACCAGTGACCCTTTGCTTCACAGGCCTGTGCTCAATCCACTGAGCTACACCAGCCAGGGCTTCAGTGTTCTTCAGATATCAAATGGGTATGATGGCCTCTAACACATACCACATTAGGCTGGGGTGGGGACTCAACGGGATAGTGTTTGACATAGCGGGTGGTGAATGTTGACATCTGTATTAATGAACCAATAGCCCCTCTGTTTAGGGTAGCTGTTAATAAGAGTTGGGGAGGAAGGGAGGCACACCTCTGCTGGCTCCTCATTGCCTGCCTTCCTGCACCAAGGTACTGTTCCTGTAAGCTATGAACTTTTCCAAATAATTGTCCTTGATTTGGGAGTTGGCAGGAAAAAAAGTGCCTTTGTTCCTTTTTGAAAGAAGCTATGGTTTTCTCTTATAGGTTAGGGCCATTTTTATTACCCCCCCTTTCAACCCCACCCAAGCTTGGGGCCTACCTTGAATCCTTAATTTCAGAGCTAAGTAAGATTACTGTACCTTTCCCCTTTGGGGTGGAAAGGGCTGAGACAAAGGGGCCAGGTCTGGGGCTGGCTGCATCCTGTTCCTTAAAGTCATAGGCATAACCCCCCCCCCCCCCTTGCAAATGTTGGAAGGTGGGGGAGCATTTGGGAGCTGCAGGGGGCTAAGGGGAGGGGCTGGGGAGGTGAGGTTGGGGGAGGATGCTTTCTTCCCTTCCTCCAGCCACGTGGGGCCTATGACCCAGAAGTTTCTGTAGCCCCTCATTATCGCAGCCTGAGGGACCCGCTTCCCATGGGAGGGTTTGGGCAAGGTCTTCCGGGAACACTTGCCTTTAGATTGACTCCTTTGTCTCAGACCTGCTCTCATGCCAGCTGTCTGGCCGCCAGGCTCAGGCACCTTTTCCAATTTCATCTGAGAGGACCCTTGGGTCCTACCCTTTGGCAAGTGCCCCTCCTCCAGTCCTTGATGGGTACAGGACCTCAGCTCGGGCATGCCCTTGTGTCAAGCAAGTCGTTAAAAATCAGGAATTCAGAGTGAAGTGATTTTCAGTTTCTTGGTGGACCAGGGCTGAGGAGTACAGAGAGAGTACCTCCCTTTTCTTGCAGTTCATCCTCTTTGTGAAGTGATGGATGGACTTGTCTCTCTTCTTGGGGAGTGCTGTTCTCACTGGGGCTGTTTTGCAGCTGATGGAACTGAGGTTCTGGGATATCCAGTCGCTTCCACACCTTAGTGGTTCTTTTCAGACGCTTTCACATCACATCAGCCACTATCGCAGGGCAGAATTTGGCGGGCGCTCCAGGCGCTCCAGCTGCTCCAGCTGGGAGAAAGCCCAGTGCAGGTGTTCAGGTGAGTCTGGCCGTGGCTTGGAGGAAGTGGCCTGGCAAATGGCAGAGGAGGCCTGTGTGTAGGGTTGCTGTATCCTGCTCCCTAAAGCCATAGACAGAACCTTCGCCCCTTTTTTGATTTTTGTTCCTTTCTGTGAAATGGGTACGAGGACATAACCTGCCCAGTATACTTGCTAGGAGGACTAATTGGAATTCAGGGGCCTTTTAGCTTCACAAGGCTTAGTTGCTAAGTTAGGTGAGGGGCCCTAAATATTGTAAAATTCTGTTATTTGTTGGGTCATGTTATTTGTCTGAGGCAATAGACTTTTAAAGGGGTTTGGGCTATGGAATCAAATCTGAATGTATATTCCTATTTGCTTCATTGAAACGCTGGTCACCTGAGCCTCGGTTGTTCAGTTTGTGAAGTAGGGATGCATTCATTGTGGGCCAGGGGAAGTTGAAGCTTTGGGGTTATTTTATAAAAGATTTTTACTTATTTTCACAGAGAGGGAAGGGAGGGAGAAAAAACTTCTTATCTGTTGCCTCTCATCCGCCCGCACCTGGGGTGACCCAGTCACGTGCTCTTATGGGGAATGGAACAAGTGACCCATTGGTTCACAGGCTGGCGCTCAATCCACTGAGTCACACCAGCCAGGGCTGTCGTTTTTTGTTTTTTAACTTTTTAAATTAAATTTGTATTTTATTTTTAGACAGAGGGGAAGGGAGGAAGAGGAGAGAAACATCGAACTGGGGACTGAACCCGCAACCCAGGAACTGAACTGGTGACCTTCTACTTTGTGGGACTGAGCGCAACCTAGCCACACCTGTCAGGGCAGATGCTGGAGTTTAAATAAGTTGAGTCGTTAGAGATTAAAACATGTGCATGCTGAGGGTTCAATAAATGTTGCAGTTTACGTAGTAGCGCTGGCCTTCAAGCCGGAAGCTCGGCCCGGATGAATTCCGGTCAGGGCACGTGCCTGGGTTGCTGCCCAGGTTCCCCGATTGGGGGCGAGCGAGAGGCAACTAATTGACATCTCTCACACTGATGCTTCCCCAGTCTCCCTCCCTTCCTGTCTCCAAAAGTAAATAAGTAAAATCTTAAAAAAAAAAAAAAAAAAAAAAAAAGATATTCACTGTATGGGATACAAATGAAAATAAACTTTACCTTTTTCTGATGCTAAGAAGAAACTAATCATCACCTGTAAACTCAGTCCCAAGGTTACCCTTACTTTACTTTCATTTGGGGGCTTCAATTTCTTCTAGGATTGGAGAGAAATGTAGTCAAGACTAGGAGCCCTACCTAAGCAAAGGGACAAGAACCCCAGGAAGGACAGAATCCTGAGGAAAGGTGAAGTCTTAGATTTAGAGGGCACTGCTGTCATCATGGGCCTGGCTTTACAAGCAGATGGAGGACAGTTTCGGGTAACAGTGGGAAGAGATTCTCTGGAATCTGCAGTCACTGGCTTCTGCTCTTGTTCTTCGACCAGGTTGCTTGGTCAAGTTGGTTAAGTCACTTCACCCACAGAGATTTTCTTTCATTCATTTGTTCATTCATTCATTCATTCATTCATGTATTCAGTGTGATCTGTGGCCTCTGCCCTCAACCAAGCCCTGCCTGTCCTCCTCCCCCCAGCTCCTCTGTTTTTTAGTTTTGCACTTCAAAGGGGGGAACTTAAATTTTCTAGAAAATGGTCTTTTATAGTCTGAAATTTGTGGAAGAGCAGTAGCCACTGCAAACATGAACAGGAAATTAGAAATGCACTTCCAAAAATGACTGAGAGTGGATGGGTAGGAGACAGGTAAACAGTTGTCAGTGGAAAAAGGTTCTTAACCAATAC